TTCATAAATAAATCAGAAGGCCTATTAATTAACAGAGAACTTATCTTTTAGTTACCCAAGGACAGAAAAATCCTTCAGGCTAAACTATAGAATGGTCTCTTTGGAGTGTAATTTTAAAATGGGATGGAAGTGCAGACACATTATATTTAAAATGTTACTACAAAAAAAAACATCTTTAGACAGGCAGTTATTACTCACTGAAATTACAAGTAAATTAATACCTTAGCATTTCCTTCCAAGAGGAGTAAAATATTAATAAAGAGCAGAAATTGGTTTTCCATGTGCAAATGTCAGAAATGAAACAGATATGCAATTATCAATACCTTTTAGAGGGGTGGTGAACAACACTCGTTCTTTCAAACGAGCACAACTCATTCCTCCGGTTTTTTAACACAGCAAATTACTGAAACACATTTAGCTGGCAGGGACCTGGATAAGTCACATTGTATAAACAGTACATTTCCGGAGATACCAAACTAAATGAAGGATTTATTATGTACTGTGGGATTTATTATTATTATTTATTATGTAGTCCATATTCACAGCAAATCTGCATTGTTTTGTGTGTAATTTGAGAGTTAATGCAATTTATATTTTCACACTGAGCAGACTGATCATTATCTAATGTGCAGTACAGCACATCTCACATACTGTACATACAAGCAAGGAGATAAGAGGAAACACAAAAATAAGCCGAGTCTCTCTGCAACAGCCTGAGCATACCAGTGCAGGCCACTGTGTTGGAAATATAGGGGTTTTCAGTACAGCCTTTAAAACTAAACACGTGGCTTTCAGGATTGCCTGTGTAGTGATTCTGTCTAGAAGGATTCATCTTTCTTCTTTAGCTTCAAGGACTTTTAAACAGAGAGTACCAATAAGCTGGAAATCCCTTAACAATTCGTATTTTGAGTATAACTTTTAACTACGCCTTTTTTGTCTTTTTAATCCAGGTCTCATTTTCACGCCGAAGCAAGACCTGTGTATTATGAAGCGCGTTACTTGAGGTGTACATCCCATAAGTGTGAGCCTGTGTGTACAAAATCACAAAATGGAATTCATCCCAATTATACTTTTAAACCAACTCATTCCACCTCGTGTTGCTTTTCTTCCCTTGAGCCGAGTATGTTTTTTAATGGGACAAATTAGCCCTCCAAAAGATGACGGCAGCCCTTTAAAAAGTGTGATAGAGTTGCAGTCCCATGATGCAACGCTCCCAGTGGTTACATCTGCTCTATTCTTTCATCTCTCTCTATTGTTAACTGGGAGCTGTCACATTAGGATGAGAATTGGTAGTTCCTTCCCACCCCCAAGCCCCCTTTCTCCTGTTGAAATTGTTGGCAGGGTGGCAGGGCCATAAAAGGGAGAATGCACACGGAACACAGAGGGGAGCACAGTTAGAGGAAAAACAGTTTGGGAATTAAGGTCATTAATTTTCCACTTTCAAGGGCTGCCACACAGACAGAGATAAAGTCAGCATAAATATTCCACCGAAGTTTCGCTGTTTTTCTCCTCTCCCTTTTTCATCGGCAGCCCATTTATCTCCATGCTGTCAATTAGAGGCAAAAGCAAAGAACTAATTAGGAACTGTGCAATTTTAATTAGCTGTTTTGATAATTAAACTAATTGGTTCCCTTGTGTTTCCGCAATGTGCGCAGAGCACTTTTTTGATATCTGGGCTGCAGATTTCCCATCCGTTGGTTAATTAGTCACTTTTGCATTAAAAAGGAGCCTTTCTTAATAGCCTTAATTTGCAGTTGAAAAGAGAATCTACCGTCAATAATTTGTGTAATTGGTAACCGTTTGATTGTAATTTAGAAGCACGACCGGACAGCTCTGCATGCCTAATTCCTAATGACTAGGATTAAAGTTGGATTAAATGTTGGGAAGGGGAGTTTTTTTTCCAGACGATGCTTAGTCTATTTTTGGATACCCCCGAAATTTAAATTATTAGGTGCACAGTGGCTGTGTAGTTAATAGGTGTGACAATTACAAGCACCCACTGCAGCTTTTGTTCTGCACAACCTTTCTTACCGTCTTCAGTTTTTTTTCTCATATATACAGTTCTGCAAAATCCAAAGGACACCTGGGACACTCTGAACAAGGGTACCCAGAACTCTACCTTTGATTTCTTTTAGTCAAAATACAAGCGATGCTTGCCTGCCATTCTTCAAGATTAATTTTAATGACCTTTAATAGTTACATTACAATGCACAACCACTAGGCGGTGCTATACCGCAAATGACCAAAGAAAACCCAAACAACCAGGTGCAGCAAAATGGTTATGGAATTTTGACTAAGAAAAGTTTCATGATCACAAATGAAGCATTAAGAACAACATATTAAAATTACTTGTCTTAGTCAATATTCTACATTCCCGTTTTTATATACATTCCCCCTGCTCAGAGGTCAGCAGAATTTGCATTCAGATTGAACACTGTATATAAACACCTTTAAATGGGTAAAGTGTTTTACTATTCACTGCTGTGTTAGTCTGAAACAAACTTATACCTGGTAATGTTTGGTCGTAGATATCTGGACACACAAAAGTCTGTGAAGATTAAAGAAAGTATCTGACGCACTATATGTACATAAAAGGGTTCCTCTATGTGTCATTTTTACTTTACTCTCCTGTCTTATTTTAAACTTTTCACTGCATACTACGCCTCGTGCTGATCTATTGTTACAGATGCAGATTTCTTGGTTAATAGTCAGAGCTTGCTGGCAGAGGACTACTGTAACTGCAGCAAAAATCATATAGGATGAGTTAGATAATCCTCATCCGTATTCTTCACATTTCAGTAATTTCAGTGCTGAAAACAAGTCCTTCGTTTAGCTCTATGACCTTTCACTGCATGCCCTCACCCAGCCTAATGAAACCACATTATACACCTGCCTTATAACTCTGGTACCATTTTTGAAGGGATGAGGTAAACTAACATTTTCAAACTTCGAAAATCAAAAAAGCTATATTGTTTCTCATTTTTTTTCCTTAAACTGCTTATAACCTTTTTTGGGGCTTTTGCACAGGCTCTTTCTTAGGTTAGAACTTGTTTGACATTTATAAATAACTCTGAATTGAACGCTGTAAATACTGTTTTGTGTTTTTTAAATGATAATCATGTGTACCTTTTAGTTTGAATACAGAAGTTCAAAATGGAAAAGGACCCATTCATTACTTCATACACTCTCCTGAAGAAAAGAGATCTAGATTTAACATAATCCATAAATAATATTTACAAAGTTTTTAGTTTTAAGCAGCTTTATCTTTATAAATTACACTGGGACATTTAGTTTGTGCTCCTAATGAAGACACATTCAAGTCTGTATTAATATACATTAGTCAGGAAGAATGGAAAAACAGCACTCTAATGTTATCAGATTAGGTGGGGTTAATTATAGCACAATGCTTTATAATGGCTGCATGTAAGAAATTAGTAAATCAATGTGAATGATTAATACAGGATCAAAAATTAATCTGAATTAATTCTGAAACAGAGGAGCTACTCAGAGGCTGGTCTTCAGCCACATCTGCCCTTTCAATAGCATGTAAAGAAGGAATATATGATGTTATACCCTGAAAACTGTATACATATAATGAGATTACCATTAAATAAATGAAAGATGTTTTACTATTATAAATCTAAGAAAATACAATGCACAAAAGTCTACCACAATCCATATTTCTATATGATTTCAGATTAATTATAGAAAAGCTGAAATATAAAGCCCTTTGCAACATCATATACAAGCTTGGGTTCTAATTTATACTATACTAGCCGATACTAGTGCCTGTAAAGAACCAAAAATATATACTGGAGCAACCAGCTGACTTCACGATTTCTTGCTTTGAGAGGCAGGTGATTTGTCCCATTTGGAAAAAAAAAAGTAATTAACAGAATAACATTTTTTAAAATGTTTCAAAATTCAAATGCCATTTAAAGTCCAAAGCTTGGAGTATTTTTCTCTTTCTCTTTCTTTTTTCATGTGTGATTGGATTAATTATGTGTCATTCACTTTTGCTAGAGGTCAACAAACATACATTCGTGGTCATAAGTCATCAATCTATCTGACTACAAAAATTGAAAAGTCAGGCATGTCAACCAGTAAGCCAGTGACAGAAGGACCTAACAATTGATTTCAGAGGGTGCACAATGTTTCTCCAGATCCCTGCAACATAGTTGCATAGTATGTGATTGGTGAGAGGAAGAGATAATTTGGCCAAAAAAAAAACGAAAACAGCACTACAAAAAGGAAATCTGCCTATTTATATAAGGATATTTGTTTTTCTAAAGCAAATCATTGAGTTTTGAAATATCTGCTGAAGAGAGATCATAAATAAGGACATGTTTTACACTCCAACTGAAAACATTAGCATTTCTTACATTTGGAATTTCTGTAGACCACCCACAGTACTATTTATACACAATATTTTAAATCATTGTTGATATGAATAAAAGATTAATAATTACTATTTTAGATAACAGCTGACGCGCGTACTTAAAAAAGCATGCAGATTAACAAACATAATAGCTATGAGTGATGAAGTCTGGCCACAGAAGGCTTGCGATTTTGTAATGGTTAATCTTGAAAAGATCTCTCCTTAATTGGTTAACGGTCTCTCCGCCAGGCAAGTGAAAGTACTGCTATTTAAGGTTTCAGCATTAAACAGCAACACTTTCATCCAAACCATAACAGCATACAATTATATTACCAGAGTCTAAACTGCGTCTTCTATCTACCCACTAATCAAAACGCAACCCATCTGTTCTGGTGTCTTTTAAAAACACTGCTTATCTATGTATGAAAAGTGGCTGAGCGTGCTCTAATCACTGCAAAGATTTATTCCGAGAAGAAATTCAAATAAAATTAAAACTGTATTTGCGGTTAAATCGTTACTTAAAAGGGGAGCGAAAAGGGAAGGCAAAAGAAACACGTGTGTGCCTCAATAAAACCCTAACATCACCACCTTTTGTGATCTAAGCTCACATACAGACACACACACACGCACACTTTCCCTTAGCTGTGCTTTTGTGTTTTGTCAGAATTAATGAGAAAAGTTCCCCTGCCCTAGGGGTAATTAGTGTCCTTGGAGTTAAATAAGCTAATACTTAGACACCTCTGGCACAGGCAATTATGTTTGTGTATTGAATAATTGATTCAAAGAGGGGGGAAGGGCTGCTAATCAGATCTGAGCATAATGAATTGATTTAATTAACAGGGGAATCCGAGGGTCTCTGGGAACTGTGTGCATTTATTCAGTAGCAGGAGAGAGCAAAGCACATAAATTGGGAGAGAAAGGCAGTGAGAGTATGCTTTTAGCACTTGTCAGGGCTGGAATTGGATTTTTTTTTAATATAGTTGCAGTTTCGCAGCAAATGAAAGCGGAAAAAAACATTTTTGCTGGCAAGAAAGAATTCCAGTCATAATAATATAGAGCTTTTGATCCATTGAATACGGTAACGATTTAACGAGCAAGTCGAATCATTTTCTTCTTCTTTTTTTCTTTTATTGAAGATCTGTGTTGGTAAACCAGTTTTTTTTTCTTGTTTTTTTTTTCCGAGGGAGGGGGGGGGGTACGTCAATTGCAATTGTAGTTTTAGTCCGTGGAGGCTTATTTGAGAGCAAAGGAACAAATACGAATTGAACAAGGAAAGGTTGAATTTCGTTTCAAAACAGCAATAAAAATAAGCAAGTCTGTATTCATTTTGAACGGAGATGCGTTATTGAGCGATCTAGTTTTAAAAGCCCGGCGCCCGTGTGATTAAAGCTTGCAACAGAAGGACGATCGGTAGTTACATAGCAAGGCTCTTTCCTAAAAGAAGACAACTAAGAACGGGGTGGTGTTGGTTGCTGAAGCCGAGGACGGATCGCTTGGGGTCGGACTCCTCGTTCTTCAGGACGATGGTGCTGGACAAGGAGGAAGGTAGGTGGGCTACGATTGCTAACTGAGGGGCTTAAATCGGGATGTCAGTGGCCGGTGCTTTTGCATGCTTTTGTACTGTGAAAACGTACAGTCACATCTGAGGTACTGAGAGACGACTGAGCCCGGTTACGTGGAGAACGGTTCGATTCGTGGTCTTTCGCTTATTTGCTTATTTCAAGAGGCTCGCAGTGAAGAAATACATTCATGAAATACACAGTTCATTTCACTTTTTGGCAGCGATTCGGAGTTAGGAAAAACATCCCATTCTGTGCATTTTTAATCCTAGTTTCGGCAGTTTTGGTTTTCACCTCGTAACTTTCATCCGGGATCACTGCCCCTACAGTACATTCTCCTGTTTTATATTTAAATAAGTTATCAGCTCAGTCGTTGTTTCCCTGGCTTTTACAGTGGGTGGTATCACTTTGTTCATTAGTAACAGCTGAAACGTATACGAGAATACTGCGTTGTACATAACCTTCCGAAAGTCTTCTTCAGACCTTTTAAAGTACCAGATAAGCAACTGTGTACCTGTAATTACAATGTTGCCTTTAAGTGGATCGCATTATTAGTAAAGATTACTTCTGTAGGGTTCAGTGATCGTTTTTCAGTTTTGAAACTGACCGCTCAGTTTGGGAATATATTCAACTTTGAGTAGGAAATTCGTTTAAGTATTACGAGTCTGCTTTTTAATATGTATGACATACATATTATAATGTAAAGCTATGTCTTCACGTGTGTTTGTTGCTGGGTATGTAACTAGTTTATCGATTGATCATATACTCAGTTAAAATTAGGTCTCGTAATTATGAATCTAAGGAACTTGATTTAAGAAAATATGATTGATTCATGTGGTTTAGCGCAAAGTAGCGTACTTTACAAGACAGCCAGGTTATAAAGATGAGATGTCTACAAATGATAGAAAACTTTCTTTGCATACTGATATGTTTACTCTAAAAAACATGAGACGAGTTTCTACATAAGACTCTCTTCTTAATGTTCGCTTCCGAAAGCCAATTGCCGAAACTTTTGGCTAGTTAGGAAACTGCCTCTGTTCTTAAAAATGGTTATTTTTGTAATCTTTTAGAAAATGTTTTCATTATGATTTTTTTTTTTAGCTAGAGAGGCCTTTTTTAAGGTAATGGCTTGCATTTCAGACCCATTATTTATGTCTGAAAATGGATATTTCATATCTATTTTAGCTGAACATCCTTTCACTTATCCATCTAAAAACCAATAAAGGCAATGCCGTAGAAACATAAATTGGTCTGTCTCCCTGAATCCATGTCTTGCTAATGTACCCAGATTAACTCAACTGTAAATTGTCTCCTTTGGATGTCTGTCTTGCTAAAAGTTTCCTATATGATTCATGATTTGGATTGCTTTTAACAGCTATTGGCTAAGCAATATGGTAAATGTACAAGGTGATGCAAATGGCATTAGTGAGAGAGGATGCACAGGAGCATGTAATGCAGTCAATACTACATTAACTACTGATGCCCAATTACAGAAACAGGGAGAGTGGCTTTTAGGAGCATTAGGACTTGCAGAAAAGCTGAGATCACCTGCTGCTCATTGCCTAAAAGCTTCACCCTTTGCTTGCTGGGGCCAACCAACTGCTTTGGCATTTTGGCAGAGTTGAGTCGCTATACTGTATGTATGGGCTCCGTGGTCAGAACTGCTATTGTTTCTCTCAGTCCACAAGAAGTCCTGTACATTTTCAGTCTTGTATTTGCCCAAACAGCATCCAGCCAAATTTTATGTGTGGATGTGTTCTAATATACAAAACAGACCAATGGCCTTCAAGGTTTGTATTTGCAAGGCACTGTGAAAAGAAAGCGATGGGTATATACAAATTAGCTTTTAATTCTTCTAAATTTGTGGTTTTAGAGTACAAAAGTGCATTTTCAGAGTGGACTTCAGAAACTCCTGACTGACCTCCCGAATGTGATGTGGGCTGGAAGATTATTCCACAGTCTTGGAACAACAGAACAGAAAGTATAGACTGCTGACAGAACAACCTGTTTGTGTATTTTAATACCTGGGTACAACAATTTTAAAGAGAATCACACCTCCCCTACTTCCCTGAGACTCACAGCTTCACAGCCTCTCTGAAACATCTAACACCTAATAAGATATGAAATCTTTGACCGTTTATCCCATCACTTATTTTATCCAGCTTAGATGGAACAAACCTAAACAAGACTAGACAACGTGCAAATCCATGTTTGTTTTTTAAATGGGCTTCTTGCTAGAAAAGTGTTTGTGACTTGCTTTATGCTTTTCCTCTGCTTGAAACTCGGTAATATTTGCATATGTAGGCTTTCTTAATATGTGTAAAAACCAGAATCCTGGTGTATTGCAATCTTGTTTTTCTTGTGAGCTTCAAATGTGGATGGGGGAGGGAGGTACTCCATATGGAAAAGTAGTAGTACCTTGTAAAATAACTAGTTTTCCTTGAAGAAAGTTAATCCAGTTTCCCTCTTTTCTAAACCTCTAGGATATAAATCAATTCATTCTACTCGCACTGTTATATTATTTTTATTGAAATATCATAGTAGTTTTCTAATATACAATATGCCTAGAAACCATAGTCTACCTACCTGTGATTATTAGAGATTGAAAAGTACAGGCATTTATTGGGCGCTGTTACAGTGCATTTGACGAGAGGTACAGATTCTCTTCTAACACTTTGGGGACTTATAATAAACCCAGAACTTGCTAACTTATGCTGTATGTAGGCATATACTGTATATGCTAAAACTGGCATAAGTCTTAGTTTCCAAAGTGTGCTCAGAACACAACTTTGTTAGAGACCTGTCCCAATTAAAATGAACATCTGTGTCAGAAAACACTTCTCTCTGCCATTCAAACTTCATTCCAGGAAATATTGCTGTCTTCACCGCTAAACCGAACTGTTAAAGATGCCCGAAAAAACAAGGGAGGATTTTACTTCTTGTGAGGATATTTGTCCTTTCAGATAGTATGAAACTGTGAATTCAGTTTACATTAGTGTAGTGTGGTAGGTTTAACAGTTTTACATTTTATTAAAGCACTTTACAAGGCCTAACTAGCCAGTATAGACTGAATATTGGGTACAGTTCACAAAGTCACATTTCTGTACTGAAGTAATTAACACTGATTTTTTTTTCTCATATTACTGGATACACTGGCCCGAAAATATTTCGCATTGATAACAATTCTAAAACGACTAGTTTCATTTCCACATTAAAGATAAACTCAAATTCAGACCTCCATGAATCTCTTAAAGGTGTAATTTTCTTGAGTTGATCACTCACCCTCATGCTTAGAAAGCTCACAAATGTTAGGGGAAAGACAGACTGATATTCACAAACTTGATAAATTCTTGGGTTACCTTTGCTCCTTAATTTATGACCCTGTAAGCAAGCTGTCCACTGAAATTTGTACATTCATAAAGCATCTGATTGAAAAGCAATGCCTCAAATAAATACAAGCCAGTGATCTGTCGGCAGCTGTAATAAAACTTGGGCTTCAGGCTTAGATTTTATTTTGAAATAATAAGAATTGCTTTATTCTTTTTACTCGAGTTACCATGGTAATTCTGTCTTGTAGCAATGTTATATTGATTTAGAAAGTGGACAGTAATATTTCTTTTGTGTTATTTCGTTTCTGCGGGTTGATTTCTAATTTCCACTCTGAGATTACTTTTATAAATTTCTTAAGTCTTTTCACTTTTTTTCAGGCAATGTAATTTTCTCTCTTGTATTTGCTATTTTCTCAGCTTATTGGCTTGTTCTTATTTTAAATTAAACTTGCCAATTTCAAATATTGAAATGGCATCTGTGTATGTTTGTTTCTGGGTTCCACGTAATATCATGACTTGATATTTTGGAAAACGGGTTTGCGTTTGCTGCTAGTTTTGGTAAGGTATTGCCAAGCCAGTCCTAGTTCTGTATAATAAAAATGTAAATTATTATTTTGTGAATATTCAGATCAGTGTGGATATTTGTTTATATAAAAGCATTATTATAATTTGATAGATGGCAAACATTTGATGCTTGCTGACTGTAAATATTATGAAGACCACTGTAGGTGATAGATTTTGAAACATGTCAAACACAAAGTTTTCAGAACCTTTGCTCTTAAATTAAATTTGGGATTATTTTGATGTGGTGGTGTTTTTTTTTTAAATTAAATTCACAGGATAACTAACAGCACGAATTTAACTCTTTAAAGTAATATCTTTTAAGCAAGTTTTACATATTAACATTGCTCTGACAAAATCCAACTGTTTTTATGTATACAATGAAACCAGTTTCTTCTTTTCCACGGATTCATTGTGTAACAGCTGACAAGCATTAATTTCTTTTGGTTTATGATTGGGCTTAATCGTTTTTATTTAATTTTCCAGGACTGGCTGTTCACAAGTGTGTAGGGTCCCTGTGCTTATACTCCAACATATTCTCAACTGGTCATTCTCTAGAGCAGTACACATATTCAACCACACTGCTGTTCTGACAGCAGCCTGCAAAACTTTTAAGAACTCGTACACCCCATGGAGCACTGCTGTGGTACATCAATGACCACAAGTTGAATTCTCTTAATATAAAAGGCATTTTTAGATGTGCCCTCTGTAGCATCCTATATCAAATGGCTAAACAGTACAGATTAGCTTTTGAAGAGTTTTTCCTAAAAGACGTTGAGCAGAGGTCTAAAACATTAATTGTTGAATAAAAATGCCACTTCTCTCCATTTGGAAAGATCTCATACTTTTAAATGGCAGCTGTATGTACTGTACTGACACCTACACAATTAGTTATTTAGACTTAAACAATGGTGTACCTTTAAGAAATTCGCACCTATGTCTGCTTTTAATAATCCAGACGCAGACAGTGGTCTGAAATGCAAAGTGTACTGTACTTCCTAAAGTTAAAGCCAAGACATTTGGAATTCTGTGCAAGTCCATTCTGATTCTAAATCTAGAAACCTTATCCTTCTCGGTGGCCTTCTTGATGTTACCT